ATTAAGCTGTGGTGGTGTTCGAGGTTTTTTTTTTTTTTTTTTGTGGAATTATTTTATCATTCGTACACTGAAACACCTAAATATATACATTAGTGCTTCCTGTGAATGTTTGATGTCCACCCACTCTTGGCAGAGATATAGTGACTCGTGAAGAATGAAGCAAATGTAAAAATAGCAGTTAAACAGGATGATATTAATTCTTAAATCGGTTGCCTTTATGTGTCAGCAGTCTGCAAACATTCTCCCTGTTCTGCAGCCTAGTAAAAGTTAACTCGCATGGTTCCAAAGGTTTACTTAATTATGGAATTGCTCAGATGGAAATTCTGTGCCGCTTATACAGGCTTTAATATTTTCTAATTAAAATGTGCACATTGGTTCAGTTTAGAGTGACCAAAATGTATGGAAATCTGCAGCAGTTTGTTGCAGTATTGAATATGGAAGAAAAGACAATTGCATACAAGAATATTGTTGAATTCAACCTGCATTTTTATTTTCCACCTAATGTGAAACCAGGTGCAGCAATCGTAATCCAATAGCATGAAAGACCCTTGTTAGCATTAAGCCGTGTCCCCCACTAGCTCCAGCATGGGTGTTCCTCATTCGCATTAGGCCTGTCCACAACCAGTAGGAAGGGTACTCATTAGCACTAGGCATGCACACCATCTACATGGGGGGTGGATCTTCATTGGCATTATGTTTTTAAATAAATAAATAAATAACCGCCAAGGGAGAAGCTAAGGCAAGGTTAGACCCTTTTTTTTTTTTAATTGAGACCGTTTGGGTGGCATGAAGAAAGGGGAAAAAAACGTCATAAATATATAATAATGTTGTTTTAGGACAACCTTTTTTTCACAAGGAGACCACCACTATGACATATCAATATTAAAATAGTATTTTTTTTTTCTTTTAGGCAGACATCCATGAATACTTCCATTCATAACAATAATAATTACTTTCTCACTAGAACATGGGACATCAGTGCATGATGGGAGCTCATTCTGAATGACCAAACCTGCTTATTATAGAACAGACAGACATTGATTTAAAATATAATCTCTCCCTTTGTTTACTTGGCTGGTACAGATTGTACATCTCATAAAGAAATCATCATGTAAATTTTTGGTATTTGTATTAACTGTTTTATCATCCTGTATTTTTTTCCTAACCTAGGAAAAATCCTTGCAAAATGCTTTTTCTTTTTGACTCCGGGAGTGTTTTTTTTTTTTGACTCCGGGGGGTGTTTTTTTTTTTTTTTTTTGTATTGAAAGTATCATTATTCTTATTACATGAATATTCTTATTTTAATTAAATGCATTCCCCTACCAAGTGCAATGAGTGGAATGTAATGTTGCATTTGCATGTTATAATTGTGTAATTTAAATAAATATCCATAGTTATTAAGAGAAAGAACAAAGCTTGCAGAGATCCCACTGGTGACTAAGCCCCAGTGATGGGGGGCTGCTCCCCTCTTCTGTTGCTCTTACTGCTGAATATGCTGCCACCATTTGGCAGATGTAAATCATCTTTCTCCATTTTGTATTTGACTTTTAACAAAAGAGACTAGTTTTGTTCAAAGCCTTCTAAGCATCAGTGGTCAGAAGGTCTGGATTTATCCAATAGGCCTGGTCCTATAGGCAACAGAGGCAGCTTTTCTCTTTATAGTTGGCATCAGTGGTCAGAAGGTCTGGATTTATCCAATAGGCCTGGTCCTACAGGCCTATTGGTCCTATAGGCAGCAAAGGCAAAGAGGCAGCTTTTCTCTTTATAGTTGGCATCAGTGATCAGAAGTTCTGGATTTATCCAATAGGCCTGGTCCTACAGGCAGCAGGGGCAAAAAGGCAGTGTTTCTCTTTTATAGTTCGCATCAGTGGTCAGAAGGTCTGGATTTATCCGATAGGCCTGGTCCTATAGGCAGCAGAGGCAAAAAGGCAGCTTTTCTCTTTATAATTAGCATCAGTGGTCAGACAGTCTGGATTTTTCCAATAGGCCTGGTCCTATCGGCAGCAGAGGCAAAGAGGCAGCTTTTCTCGTTATAGTTTTTGGCCCCATTTTTTACCTTGTCATATACATAAATACAGTCCTCTCATAAACATATATATACATTGTCACAATACCCGGCGCCAAGTGAGTACCAATAAAAGAAGAAAATGCCCTGTGTAAAAAGATCCTAGCCTGGGGGTATTACTTGGTGACTGCAAAGATGGTCTACCTACCCACCATCGGTGATGAAAATTCAAGCTCTGGCCATCAGAGATATATGCTGCAGCAGTGAGGAGGCTGGCTGAGAGGCATACCGGAACGTGCAGCCTGCTGATTATTCCGTAGATTCTTTTTTTAAGCGACTCTGGGGACTAATTTACAGTAAAACTTGTCCATGTGAGCTTTTGGCTTCTTTGTACTTTCTGGCAAAGCTTCCACTGGTCTTCAGTTTTTCTCTGTTTTTGTAACTAGCATCATGGCAGCGGTGTGTTTTTTGTCTATATAATTTGGTGTTTGGCATGTACTCCCTAAGGGGGGTAGTTTTTATAGGCATGTGGCATACGTGTATGCATTACAAACGTGTTTAAAATGCTAACGTGTGGATAACAGTCTTTTAGTGCAGTACTGTTTTCATGACTTCATAATTTCACTGATTTAAAATGCATTTAGTGTTGGTTTTTCCTAAAACTTTTTTTTTTCCCTCTCTCATTCAGATGTGCCTAGCGGCAATGAAAATGCATTCCTTGTTGGCATCGGATATTCTCTTATGAAAGTCATCTAACGGTTGCAATCTGAGGACGTGGCTTCAGCATGGCTGGTTTCAAGAGAGGATATGATGGGAAGATCGCTGGACTTTATGATCTTGATAAGACCTTGGGCCGAGGACATTTTGCAGTTGTCAAACTTGCTCGTCATGTCTTTACAGGTGAAAAGGTAGCCGTGAAAGTAATCGACAAGACCAAATTAGACTCCTTAGCTACTGGGCATCTTTTTCAAGAAGTCAGATGCATGAAAGTGGTCAGAAGGTCTGGATTTATCCGATAGGCCTGGTCCTATAGGCAGCAGAGGCAAAAAGGCAGCTTTTCTCTTTATAATTAGCATCAGTGGTCAGACAGTCTGGATTTTTCCAATAGGCCTGGTCCTATCGGCAGCAGAGGCAAAGAGGCAGCTTTTCTCGTTATAGTTTTTGGCCCCATTTTTTACCTTGTCATATACATAAATACAGTCCTCTCATAAACATATATATACATTGTCACAATACCCGGCGCCAAGTGAGTACCAATAAAAGAAGAAAATGCCCTGTGTAAAAAGATCCTAGCCTGGGGGTATTACTTGGTGACTGCAAAGATGGTCTACCTACCCACCATCGGTGATGAAAATTCAAGCTCTGGCCATCAGAGATATATGCTGCAGCAGTGAGGAGGCTGGCTGAGAGGCATACCGGAACGTGCAGCCTGCTGATTATTCCGTAGATTCTTTTTTTAAGCGACTCTGGGGACTAATTTACAGTAAAACTTGTCCATGTGAGCTTTTGGCTTCTTTGTACTTTCTGGCAAAGCTTCCACTGGTCTTCAGTTTTTCTCTGTTTTTGTAACTAGCATCATGGCAGCGGTGTGTTTTTTGTCTATATAATTTGGTGTTTGGCATGTACTCCCTAAGGGGGGTAGTTTTTATAGGCATGTGGCATACGTGTATGCATTACAAACGTGTTTAAAATGCTAACGTGTGGATAACAGTCTTTTAGTGCAGTACTGTTTTCATGACTTCATAATTTCACTGATTTAAAATGCATTTAGTGTTGGTTTTTCCTAAAACTTTTTTTTTTCCCTCTCTCATTCAGATGTGCCTAGCGGCAATGAAAATGCATTCCTTGTTGGCATCGGATATTCTCTTATGAAAGTCATCTAACGGTTGCAATCTGAGGACGTGGCTTCAGCATGGCTGGTTTCAAGAGAGGATATGATGGGAAGATCGCTGGACTTTATGATCTTGATAAGACCTTGGGCCGAGGACATTTTGCAGTTGTCAAACTTGCTCGTCATGTCTTTACAGGTGAAAAGGTAGCCGTGAAAGTAATCGACAAGACCAAATTAGACTCCTTAGCTACTGGGCATCTTTTTCAAGAAGTCAGATGCATGAAACTGGTGCAACACCCCAACATTGTTCGTCTGTACGAAGTGATTGACACACAGACCAAATTGTATCTCATTCTAGAACTTGGCGATGGAGGCGATATGTATGATTACATAATGAAACACGAGGAAGGCCTCAGCGAGGATCTGGCCAAGAAATACTTTGCTCAGATTGTGCATGCGATATCCTACTGTCATAAATTACATGTGGTGCACAGGGACCTCAAACCAGAGAACGTTGTGTTCTTTGAGAAACAGGGACTTGTAAAACTGACAGATTTTGGCTTTAGCAACAAGTTTCAGCCTGGGAAAAAGCTAACCACAAGCTGCGGATCCTTAGCTTACTCGGCCCCGGAGATACTTCTTGGGGATGAATATGATGCTCCTGCAGTAGGTAGGTATATACACCATAAAATGCTTTTTTTGTATAGAATTGAGAAGGAATAAGCTCATGTAAAGTTTCTTTTTGTGCTGCTGATCGTTGTTACTGAGACACAAAGGGGTCTTTTTATAAACAATTTGTAGAGCTATTGGCCCTGCAAAGCTCTGTGAATGTTTGTTCTGTGTGAATGGATGCACGACACAAATGTTCTTATATATTTTCCTTATGAGTGGAGTGGAAGGCATTTTTGAATGTTCTCTTTTAATACTGCCACTAGGTGGAGCTGAGGAGCATAAGGCCCCGTTCACATTGAGCGATTTATCGCGCGATTTTTGTAGCGATATCGCTCATATTTCCGCACTATATCGCTCTATGTAGCTTCACCAATACAATTCAATGTAGCTGTTCACATCTCGTCGCTCAATGTCGCTCAATATCGCTCAATATCGCTTGTAGCTCGTCGCTGGTAGCTTGTCGCTTCTACATGACCCTTTTTTAGAGCGATTGCATACAGCCCAATAGGAAGATGTTGCGCGATGTCGCGCGACACGTCGCTCAACGTCGCTCGTCGCTCAACGTCGCTCAAAGTCGCGCGATTTGCATGTCGCTCAGTGTGAATGGGGTCTTAGAGTTAGGTATTGGCTCCCTCGAGTGGCCATAATGTGGTAGTAAAAGGTTACATTCGAAAATACATTTCATATTTCTAAAAGAAATATACAAGAACATTTGTTTTGTGCATCCATTTGCACAGAATGAACATTTACAGAGCTAATGACTTGGGAATTGTTTACAAATTGACCCCAAAATAATGGTAAATGCAATATATTTGTCACCAGAACAAAAGGTGAGGGGGAATGCTCCAATGGGGATAACATGTTCTGGTGACATCAGTAGTATTATTATTCATGATTTATATAGCAATGTTTCTTCTATATATAAATGTTAAAGTGACACTAAACACAAGAGTTAAAACTTAATGTCTTTACGTACCCTATTAAGAGAAATGTATTTTATTTGTGCATCACTCGGCTGTAAAGCCTCAAATCATCTCTGAACTGGCGCTGACACTGTCCTTCCTTCTGGAGGGGGGCTACTTTTGTTCCCCATGGTCCCTGTGTGTTGTAAAGTAGTCACCACTCCAAGCTCCCTCTTGTGATGGACTACAATCTTAATACAAATTTGTCTTAATAGTTAAGGCAATTTAATGCATTTTTAAGCTTTAACTCCTGAGTTTAGTGTCACTTTAGGTGCATGTGTGATAAGTACAGTTGAGGCTGTTCAAACTTCCAGTTGGGGAAGTTTAAACATGTTGAACACAGCTGCAAGAGGGCTGTATAGCGTACATCCTGGTGTATTTTTCTAGCTGGGAGTAACAGGTGAACTGTACAACAGCCTGTAGCCAGTTGCTACAAATCCTTGATAGGCTGGCTGAAATCGTGGTTGTATGGGTATGTATGCAAATCCCAGCCAGAGAAGTACGCCGGGATGCATGCTGTATGGTCCTTTTGCAGCCGTATGCAGTCTAGATGAGTTACTAGAGAAAATGCCTCCCAGGTGAGTTATCATAGCATTGCGAGATGCTGTTGACCATAGCTTTATATATCTATATATCTATATATATCACAGAGGACATTGGATTGTATATCATTACATTGTATGTGGATGAGTCCACCAATGCGTGTAGATTACTATTGGCTCATACTTTGCCTGTCCACTGTGTTTTGGTGATACCACAGAGCTATTTGTTCATACCTTGGCTTTATTCTCATGGGTATTGGTCCAGTCTATACAATTATTGACTCCAGTGTCCGTATGTTACAATCAAAGGAAAACAATGCTCTTGCCACCATGGAATTGCTGGTCTCCAGCTTCTTTAACACATACAGAAATAGTTGTTACTATTGAAGATCTCTGCCTGCAAAGATTCTAAAGCTTGCTTGTTTCTTTCCTGCATGAAGAAATGCAAAATGACAAAAAAACTGATTATTTCTTGATTTTATTAAATGGCTTTCAATACGTTGTGTTTTCTGTCATTGTTATGCAGGCTGCTTGCCCATTTTGTCAGCCAACTTCCAAATAATACAGTAATCATGCAAATATAAACTCTTTCATATGACTATAATGAACATTTTGTTAGTTTTATGGTGTAAACATTATTTTTAATCTTCATTTATGTATCGCTTATTAGAGCCCATCCAAATGTAATTGGTTTCTTGGCTTTCTGCTCAGCAAGTGCAATTTTGTTGCCTTTTGGAGCAGAGCCTAGATAAGGAAATGCAGAAAAACTAGTGCAGTACATTAATATTTTTCTGTCTGCTTTGCATTACTTTTCTGTGCTCACTGTTAATATAAAGAGAGTGACATCATTTGTTGCCATGACAACAGCTGCTGCATTAGCTGATATCATCTGAAATAATCAAGTTGGTGTGTGTGTGCTTTGTTCTGTAAACTGTGTTTACCATGTGCATGCATGCTTGTAGCCATGCCATGCAGTTTTTACAATTTCCGTGCAAATATAAGATATTAATACATAATATTTAAACTAATTAAAGAAGAGGTTCCCAAATTACATAATGTATTGTTCTTTCTACTCTACCATTCATCCTTCCTCGGATCCAGTCCTAAAGCACCTCACTTTCAAAGTTCCATAGGCATGTCTTCTCTTCTGCCTTGGTGCTGATGTCATCTGGTCATTTTAGTCTGTCATCTAATTCAGGAAGTGGTGGTCAAGCTGATGGAACCTGGTGGAATCTTGGGGGGTGTCAAGGAGTGAGACTATCCCATAAATGTATACTAATGTCTTGTGTCTACAGCAGCTAGGAAACCATGCACTAGTATTGCTCAACCATAAAAATTAACCCACAGCAGTGTTCAGTTGCTAGTATGCAACATGCTCCGTAGACTGTCTAGGTAGATAGTTGACCAGGACTGCTGTGTGTTGCCCATACATGGCAACACATACAGTTACTGGTAATTTGGTTTGCTCCAAAAGTATTTGTGTATGGACTTTTAAAAGGGAGAGGCCAATTAGCAATGCCAAATAACCCAAATTAACCAGCTGTTATTTTTCATTGATTTGGCTGCTTGAGAATGGTAAATAGAAAGCCAGATTTGGTTCTTTTGACCTATGGCACTTTGTATAAAACCTACTGCAGGGTAACATGTTGAATTGAAGAGGCACCATAGGCAGGTCATACTCTCTTCCCCACGCCGTCCAGGGGAGGGAAAGACTGGAACTGTTTGCTGTCAGTGGCAGCCTGTTGCTGTGCACACACATTACAGCCATCGCAAGACTTTTGTCTTGCGATGGTTGTAAGGTAATTTTAAAAACGTACGATCTGCCTATCTTGGACAGGCAGATCGTACTTGCGATGATCGCAAGTTGCGCCCCCCGAGGGGCGGGCTTCCGATGACCGCAATGCTAAACGGGCAGTGTGCGCTAGCGCACACAGGCCCATCCGGCTTTTATCTTACGAACATGCTACACACCCACCGACAATCGTACGATTCTCGGCGGGTTTTCGAACATGTTCCTAAGATTAAAGTCGTGCAACCTCACAGTAGCAGAGCAATAGAAAAATGTCACCAGCACGCCATTAGTTGAAAAAGCAAAATATTTTATTGCCAATAGCTGTATCTCATTGGGATCCCAATGAGATAGCTATTGGCAATAAAATATTTTGCAAGCCAATGAGATACAGCTATTGGCAATAAAATATTTTGCTTTTTCAACTTATGGTGTGCTGGTGACATTTTTCTATTGTTCATGTGTGGCGGTGCCATCCGCAGTCATTTCGAGCACCCATCTTCATCAAGTGGGAATCCCGGTAATGAGTGCGGTATGGTTCCTGTTCTTACAGTAGCAGAGGTCGCACGGCTCCCACACACCTTACGGTAATCGTACGATCGCAGGATTTCCTGTGATTATCGTAAGGGGTGTGGGCACCGTTATCCTGCTGCAACCTTATGCATTTTTTGCAATTGCAGTCTTGTGAAAATGGTACCATTTTATATTAACGCCTGACTTGATGTTTCACTAATATATTGAGCACACATTTTCCTGCATGCATTGTTATATTTACAGGGCACAAAAAGGTTTTATTTGAAAGGTGAACTTTGACTCTAGGTTGCACCAGATTTTACCAGAATTTCCCCTCTTTCAAAAATGTGTATTGGCTACAGAGATCCCCTGCGGCTAATTGATTGGTGGCATTAAAAATAATCACTTACCAGAGTTGCTCAATGCGGCCATCAGGTTTACTTTTTTCCAAACTTTTTTTTTTTTTTTTTTTTTTTTTTTTTTTTTTAATCTTTATGTACAGAAGAAGAAAAAAGATCTAAATGAATTCCACTCCAATTATTAGAATGGTACCCTTCTAATAACTCCCTTGGTTTTCCTTTCAGGCTTTATCTAAATTGCATTTTCTACATTCTGAGAACAGATGTGAAGAATTAGGTGCTATATTTAGAATGGGAACATTAGAGCCTATCATTGAGAGAGCCATTCTTATAAAGCGTTCTGACTATAGAGATTCATTAATTTTAAATTAATCTTTTATCCTGACTTCTCTGAGAGCCATACATTTTCAAACTTTGTAACTATTTATACAGACCGTAAACGAGACAATTTGTTTGATTTTTGTGGAAATGTCAGTTTCTAAGACTTTACCAATTATAAGCTGTACTCTATTGTTCAAAATGGAAAATTACATTAACCATCCCATCTCATCAAATATCCCTACCCCTAATTTATCGAGACCCTCTTTGTCTTTTTGTATATTTTTCAGCTTGCCTTCTTGAACTTTTAATGATGTGTCCTGGAACTAAGCCACTTCATTACTGTTTGTATAGTGACTACATAGTGATATCTACGTTATACTAAATTCGCTCTCTCTCTCAGCTCTTTCTCGCTCTCTCTCTCTCAGCTCTTTCTCGCTCTCTCTCTCTCAGCTCTTTCACTCTCTCTCTCTCTCTCTCTCATCTCTTTCTCTCTCTCTCGCTCTCTCCGCTCT